AAGAAGACGATATGGTTAGAAGTGATAGGAGTGTCACTTCTTTTACCAGGTTATAAAAACACCACATAGATTACATGCTGATCCCTCTCTCTCTCTCTCTCTCTCTCTCTCTCTCTCTCTCTCTCTTTTCTCTCTCTCTCTCTCTCTCTTTCATCACTCACCCTGCTGGAAACCAGCTGCTATATTGTGAGGCAGCCCTGTGGAGCTCACAGAGTGAGAGATCAAGTGAAAGATCAAGGTCTGTCAACAACCATGTGAACAAACTTAAAGGCAAATTCTTCTCCCTACCACTAAATCAATTAAAGACCACAACCCCAGCTGATAGCTTGACTGCAACCTCATGCTAGACCTTGAGCCAATGACATTATGCCACACCTGCGTTCCTGACCTACACAGACTGTGAGATAATGTTTGTTATTTTAAGCCATAAATTTTTAACATAAATTGTTATTCAGCAAGAGGTACCTTACATAGAGAGAAATGGATAAATAGAAAGAAGTAGATGGATTCAGGAATTTGGGTGTTTGGGTTTCGTTTTTGTTTTTGAGAACATGCTAACAAGACCTACTAGATTGAGTTAATTAGGTGTAAGGGAAAATGAGAGCTAAAGAATTACTCTTGGGCTTTTAGTCTGAACAGTAATGTGAATACTAATGCCATTTACTAAGATGGAAAAATCTGAAGGAAATCAGCAACCATGTTGAAGTGTCAAGAAACAGCTGGATATGCAAACTCTAGAGTTCTGGGGATAAAAGGGAAATCAGATCTGGGATGATATTAGTCTCAACCTCACTTGTATGTATTAGGTGAGATAATGTAGATAAAACCCTTTGCACAGTGCACACATTTGTTACCTCTAGTGGGTAGAATTGTGTCCCCTAAAAAGATATGTTCAGGTCCTAGTTCCTGGTACCTGTGAATATGACCCTGTTTGGAAATGGAAATGTATAATCTTTGCAGATATAATTAATTAGGATGAAGTCATATAGGATCAGAATGGACACTAATTCAATGACTACTGTCCTTATAGAGAGAGAAAACAGAGACACAAAGATACACATAGGAAGGAGAAATGCTATCTGAAGACAAAGACAGAGATAACAATGATGCTGTTATAAGCCAAGGATTCAACATAGACTCACCAGAAGTTAGGAGAGAGACGTGAGAAGTTTTCTCCCTCAGACCCTCCAAGGAACCAACTCTGACAGCACCCTGATTCCTGACTTCTAGTGTTGAGGATTTTGAGATAATAAATTTTTGTTGTTTGAAACCACCCATTTTGTGATAATTTGTTACAGCAACCCCAGAAAAAAAATAGTATCCAAATAAATGTGAAGTGTGAATGGTTATCGTTGCTTTTATTATTACCATTCCTATTGTACCATTGTTGTTTTTGTTGTTATATATCCAAACACCTAACACATTGCTTTGTGCAAATTAGGAACTCAATTCATAATTTTAGTAGAATAAAAATCTGTGCTTTCTGCAGACTGAAAAGAAGAAATGCAGAGTGAAGAGTATCTGTACATGTTCCAAAGGAATTTTGAAAGAATAGATTCTTTTCTCTTTTGTCTGAAAACCCACTTTTCTTTGTAGAATCCCAGAATCAGGAAGTTCTGATTACATCATCTCCTCTCTAACCTGACTCCTGTAATTTCCTGTCTTCTCATTTAGATCCAGCTCAAGTGTTTCTGTCTTGCTACAATCTACTGAGAACAAACTATCCATGAGATGCCAGGTTTCCCCAAACTCACATCCTAGCCTTTACTAACGTGTTTGTCATATATTATATTATTTGGATTATTATCTTGTATACTTAAGTAATATTTGACCACAACTGATATGTTTGTCTCCTTGAATTTTTTAAATGATGTTTGAGAAAAATATGGCCCATACTTTAAGATAACAGGTCTAAAATATCTTTAGTTTACTTTGGAAAAGAACTTATTTGAAAAGGAATTTTTGCTTCCATAACACATGCTTAGTTAAGTGATACCATAAATTGCTGTACATGTTCTCTGGTTCATTTTCAGAAAGCAGATTCAGAAATGAACATTCTACGCTTAGAAGCACTCTGGCTGAATTCTCGGAGAGTCACACTTGGGACAGCCTCTCCTGGGGCTCAGTCTGAGATTTGCTGTCTTGTACTCAAGGCCTGATGTGTCACAGGATCACATGGCCCTCCCAGTCCCACAATGAAGAAAATGTCACTGTTGGACCCAAATGTGATTTTAAGGAAACTTGCCAAGACCTCCTTCTCTTCCTTTGCTTCCAATACTTGGGTGTGATAAACCATCACTGGACATGAATTACTTTTGGGGACTTAACATTTTTTTACCTGGAAAGTTGGAAAAGGAATAAAAGTCCAGACATTCCCAAACTTGGGGAAAAATAGTATCATCTGGACAAATGCATTTAAATTGTAGAGTCATGGAGCACCTGGGTAGCTCTGTCACTTAAGCATCTGAGTCTTGATTTCCCAGTTCATGATCTCACAGTTCATGAATTCAAGCCCCACATTGGGATTCAGTCTCCCTCTTTCTCTCTGTCCCTCCCCCACTTGCTCTCTATCTCTCTCTCAAAATAAATAAAAATAAACTTTAAAAAATGTACAGTCTTAGGTCTTTTTCCAAATCCACTGAGAATCAGAATCTCTGGGCCAGCATGGGGCTGGGAGGAGAGTTGCAACTTATATTTTTAGCAAGCTCCCCACCTGACTCTGATGTCACCTACTTAGCACCTATCCTCAGAATGATAAAAAACTGTAATTCCTTCCATATACAGATGTGAAAACCAAGGCAAAGTGTTGTCAGGGTATGCCATAGGCTTCCTCATTTTTTAACAGCACCTTGAAACATTTTTTTAAAACTTCTTTTTTTTAAATAAAAGAGAGATAAACAATTGATGGAGAAAGAATTAGTAAAATATGAAGTGAAAAGTGAGCTTAAAGGTGAGGATACTAAAACAGAGATAAGAAGTGTCCACAGAGGCAACCTGTGGATTGGGAGCAATAAACAAAGCTGGACTGAACTTCTCCAGGGCTGAACTTCTCCAGATTAGAACTGTTCAAGGGTGGTTAGTTTTGATTTATTTTTTACTAAAGTCCTGACGCCCTCTAGCCGGCAAGTGGAGAAGTCCAGAGTGTATAATGAAGCATGTTCTCTACTTGGAACTAGATTCTTGCTTTGGGATCCAGACTGTTTGAGTTTCCCTTCAAATGTTTTGGGTACCACATTTCTTTTTAAACTAAGCATTTTACTATCTCTGCTACTTTAAAGTCACATCCTCTTGATCTCTGTAAGTAAAGTCATGAACTCTGCAGGAGAGAGGACAATTATGCTTAAGATATTTTTGTCTCAGTTTAGTTGGGGACAGTGGGGAAAACATTTCAAATTTCTTAAGTTCACCCTAAAAAGTATAACTTACATTGAGCTGTTGAGCTGGCATTTAAATAAACTGAGATTTGAGAAGTAATTCAGATGGTTTACACTGGTTCCCCTTGTCCAAAGTAATTTCAAAGATTCCCTAGTATTTACTTCCATTGGTCTGAAAAGCACTTGCTAAAAAGTTTTGATTATAATAGTAGTGAAAGTAAGGGGCTGGTGGTCCAAAAACAGCCTCATAGAATCCCCTATTCCAAGTTCATCAAGGTAAAGAGAATGTATGTGAGTAAACAATTTGTGAAAGAGCTTTGGGCTGAGAGCCGGACAAGTGGTATGTAGTGTCTGTGAAGTCAGCTCACCAATGTATTGTCTGCCTAACTGAAGTTCTTAGTACATACCAAAGGCAGAGGGCAACACTTGAACCTATAGGTGTGCTATATAAGACGCTTTAAAAACCCTTGCAATCACAGACACCAAATAAAGTGGTTAGATAGTTAATGAAAGGGGAGTAGAATTTGTGTTTGTGTATTCAGTAAAAGCCCACCATCTGACTTGGGGTCTGGGCATGAAAAGAGGTCACTATCATTGCTTTTAAAAATGAAAATGGGTAGGAGATCTTGACATTTTAGAACCATCTTTCATCGAATGGGATCATTTCAAAGATAAAGTGGGAGTAAGGAAGAAAGAAAAAAATTCTAGTACCTGTAGTTATGTTTGGGAATAAGCAAGAAAAAGGATCGCAAATTAAAGCCGACTTTCTCCAGCAACGTAGGAAAATAAAGGGTTACAATCATCTCCTTCTGAAACTTTGAAGAGGAAAAGGAGAATCTGCTGGTGGGCTCTGCCTGCTGCCCACGGCTTTCTCCTCCCCGAGGCGGGCGTGGCGAAGTTCAGCACCTCGGAAAGCGCCCCCACATCTGGCGAGGGGTTTACGCATGCTCCCTGGGAGCCCGCAGCCTAGGTTTTGCGGGTGCGAACAGAATTCCGGTGACAGGCTGGCAACTCACTGGGAGCTGTCAACAGCGGAGAGACCGAAGCGCAAGGCTGGAAGGATGACTTCGAAAGACCTCCAGAGCGTCAGAGCGAGATAGATGGAACTCTCTTGTCTCTCTTTTTCCTCTCAAAGGACAGAAACCTCGGCCGAGCAGCAGCAGCAGCAGCAGCAGCAGAGGAAACAGACAAAGAAAGAGAAGGAGCGGGCCCCCAATAGAGGTCCTGAGCGGCACAGTGGGTATAGGCTGGTGCCCAACAGACGCAGTGGAGGAACGCAGTGGATCGTACAGCAAGGACCGGGAGACTCCGACCTCAGCCAGAGAACCCTCGGATGCCCACTGCTCGCCCTCGGAGCTGCGCTGCTCAGTTCTAGAACTCCCCTCCAGAACAGACGCTGAGCACACCTCTCGCGCCCCCAACGCCGCGCGCGCCAGAGAAGCTTTGGGCACCCAGCACCCAAGAGCTATGTACAACTGCGGCTTTGAAAGCTCGCACACACGCCCTGCGCCCTCGCCGGGACAGAACCCCCAGCGAGTTGGACTCGCTTAGGTCTTGAAGTCCTCCTGGAACATGACCTAGAGGCACCTGCGTTTGCAGGTGGTCACTGCAGCCACGACAGTCACCATGAATAAGGAGGCTGTGATCCCATACCTTCTGCAGGCGGCCAACACCAGCGTAAACGCGTCGCTGCAGCTTCAGGACTTGTGGTGGGACCTGGGGTTAGAGCTGCCTGACGGCGCGGCGCCGGGGCATCCCCCGGGCCCCGGCGGGACAGAAAGCGCAGACACCGAGGCCCGGGTGCGGGTCCTCATCAGCGTGGTGTACTGGGTGGTTTGCGCGCTGGGGCTGACCGGCAACCTGCTGGTGCTCTACCTGATGAAGAGTAGGCAGGGATGGCGCAAGTCCTCCATCAACCTCTTCGTCACCAACCTGGCGCTAACAGACTTTCAATTCGTACTCACCCTGCCCTTCTGGGCCGTGGAAAACGCTCTGGACTTCAAATGGCCCTTCGGCAAAGCCATGTGTAAGATAGTATCCATAGTGACGTCCATGAACATGTATGCCAGCGTCTTCTTCCTCACCTCCATGAGCGTGGCGCGCTACCGCTCTGTGGCCTCAGCTCTTAAGAGCCACAGGACCCGAGGGCACCGCCGGTGCGACTGCTGCGGCAAAAGCCTGGGGGGCAGCTGCTGCTTCTCAGCCAAAGCACTGTGCGTGCTGATCTGGGCCTCGGCTGCGCTGGCCTCGTTGCCCAATGCCATCTTCTCCACCACTATCAAGGTGATGGGCGAGGAGCTGTGCCTGCTTCGATTCCCAGACAAGTTGCTGGGCTGCGACAGACAGTTCTGGCTGGGCCTCTACCACTTGCAGAAGGTGCTATTAGGCTTCGTGTTGCCGCTGGGTATCATCAGCCTGTGCTATCTGCTGCTGGTGCGCTTCATCTCCGATCGCAGAATGGCAGGGACCGAAGAGGGGGCTTCAGCCGCGCGGGGCAGCCTGGCCGCAGCCAGCGCCCGGAGACGGTCCAAAGTCACCAAATCAGTGACCATCGTGGTCTTATCCTTCTTCCTGTGTTGGCTCCCCAACCAGGCGCTCACCGCCTGGAGCATCCTCATCAAGTTCAACGCGGTGCCCTTCAGCCAAGAGTATTTCCTCTGCCAGGTATACGCGTTCCCGGTGAGCGTGTGCCTGGCTCATTCCAACAGCTGTCTCAACCCCATCCTTTACTGCCTCGTGCGCCGCGAGTTCCGCAAAGCGGTCAAGGGTCTGCTGTGGCGCATCGCGTCGCCTTCTGTCACCAGCATGCGCCCTTTCACCGCTACCACCAAGCCAGAGCCCGAAGAGCAGGGGCTGCAGGCCCTGGCACCTCTCCACCCGACCGCGGAGCCCGACCCGGTCTACTACCCGCCTGGCGTGGTGGTCTACAGTGGGGGGCGCTACGACCCGCTGCCCAGCAGCTCCGCCTACTGACTCCGCCCAGGGTGCGCAGTCACAGCAAAGTGGCCTTTCCGAGCGGGAAAGAGGAGAGCGGGTTGGGAGACGCTGGGGGCCCACCGGATCCAGACGTGGGCAGGACGGGCATACCGAGAGGCACAAAGGAGCCGCCACTGAAAAGACGAGGGGACTGTCTCCGGGGAGGGAAGGCTTCCAAACCAGGCGGAGAGAAGAAGGTGGCAAAGGGACCGAGGCCAGCCTCGCAGGGCCAGGCCACCAGCCTGCATCCCCCCTTCTCTGCCCACACACCTCTTCCTCTCCTTAGGCTGTGAACATGGGGCAAGGTAGGGGCGCTCAGAAGAGGAGAAAGGCCTCAGGAATGAGGGAAATTGAGGCACGAGGAAGTGGGGCTCCGCCAAACGGTGAGCAGGCAACTGAGCGCATTTCTTCCAGAGACTCTTATGGAGCTCTTGAAAGGGTCCTCAAGGTGCATCCAACTAGGGGAGTCTCCTACAAAACCTTCATCTGCACCGTGGCAGGCGAGACGGCCGCAGCGCCGTCCGACTTGCTGCGTGGCTGCACAGAGTCGAGTTTGGGAATAAGAAACTTTTTCGGAGTTGGAAGAAAGTAGTGACAGATCTCATCCGCATTCAAGAGAAGTGCACCGCGAGAGGGGCATGCCCCATGAGGCCACCGTATCATTTCTCATTGCGGACACGGCCAGTGGGTATCACCCGAGGCAAAATACTTCTCTCCAAAAGCCGTGAGCGATTCCCCGGGGAGTGGGGTCACTGAAGGAGGGAGCGGATGCATTGTGATTAGAGGGACTGAACTGAGACCTTTTCAGGCTCTCGCCTCCAACGGAAAAGGGGAGCTCACGTGCTCACTTAGTAACCCAGCAGGAGGAGAGTGCGCCAGTGGCTGGATGCCTGGATCTCCCAGTTCCCCCGGTAGGCGGTGTGGATGCCCGGAAACGCTGTGTGCTCCTTTCTGGGCCCTGCAGGTGAGCTGTGCCCTGGAGCAACTTGGAAAGGTCTGCGTAGACACGCTACGGGGAGTGGGGACTTTTCTGCAGCCTCTCACCCCTCACTCTTTGGGACTCTGGATTCCCGTAGAGGCTCTGGGCCAGCCGATAGAGGGATGGCACCACCCGGGTTTGTAGACTTAGGACAGAAAACTAAGAGACGCTGTAGACATGAGGGGGGAGGGGGACAGCTGGAAACCAAACCCTAAGAACCAGATTTCAACAGGAGGCGTAGAGTAGGAAAGGGAAAGAAAGACTCAAGTAAAATCTGTCCTGAAGGGAAGAGAGTACTGAGAGCCTATTCTGAGGGGATCGCCACAATTTCTGGTGTAGGATTCTGTCTTTCTCATAATATTGAGGAGACAAGGTGGGGAGTAAGACTTCCATAGGATACTACCTTAACCAAGTTCCCTGTATTCTAAGGAATGCTCTGCATGGTGAGCAGGAATTACGAATTCTTCTTTAACCACCAGGCAATCTATGGGACCATCTCTGAAGAATGACACATTTCTTAAGACAATTCTGTGCTGGTCACAGCAACTTAGTCCTTTCTTGAGGCTGATTAGAGAATGGGGATCAAAGTACAGCCTGCCCACCCAACTGCCAGTTTTGACACAGGTGCTACTGTTCTCTTTGGTGATCTAGTTTCGGGTTAAAAAAAAATAATCTGGCAACTTGGGCATCTGTTGTTGTGGTTCTTTTACAATAAACAATCGTTACACAAACCTGTCTGCTTAAATAGCCTCTCAAACTGTAAATCTTTTTGTACTTTTGTTGGGAATGTCCTATATTGTCTGAGATTTCAGGATCAGTGTGAGCATCCTGCTTTCTGTAACACAACACAAAGCAATAACTAAGCCTTCATAGCTTTGCCACAAAAACAATAGTTGCCTGATCTCCTCAATCCTGAGCAGTCTGCAGAAGTTAGCTTTTTTTTTTTTTTAGAAAACCAAATAATACTTTTGTTTTAAAGTAGTCAAATAGGGACGCCTTCCTGGCTTGCCTGGTTGATAGAGCATGTGACTCTTGATTTCTGGGTTGTTAAGTTCAAGCCCCATCTTGGGTGTAGTCTACATACATACATACATACATACATACATACATACAGTAGTCAATTTAGTCTTTCTTTGCCCTTTATGAAGAAAAACTATTGATACTGATATTGAATAGCAATTGGGCTAATAAAAACTGAACTGCAACCCTCTTTGAGTCCCCAAAAACAGAATCACCAAGCAACAAACACCCAGAAAGGACAAATAGTAGTAGCATGGTGGTGTGTCCATGTATGATGTTGATATTAGACTCTCATTGAGAAATTCTCTTTATTAAAGGAAATTGCCATTTCATTTTTAAGAATAAATTACTGGGTTGGTAACTTGCTGTTTTTAGGAAACTTTGTTGAAGGGTGTACTTCTGCCATGATGGGCCCTAGAAAAACAGAAGGGGCTAAGGGCAAGGCCTTCATGAAAGAACTTTGCAAAAAGAATCCACTTGGCTCCATCCAAACTTGAGGGTTTCTGAGAACATGACTATAGAGAGCAAAGACTATGACTTCTGTATACCACAAAGACAAAAAAATAAATGAGGAAATGGCCAGATTTATTTTATTTTTTGAATGCCAGTTGTGTGCTAAGCCTTGTACTGGGTGTTGAGATCACACACACCAACTAGACACATTACGGACACACGGTAACTGGGTCATGGAACAGTGAGTTCAATGTCATGGTAAGGCTAGAAGAAAGTGCTATAGGAATACAGGGGATGGAAAGCTTGGTTTTGCTGGAGGAGCAGAAACTTCGTCCTCAAATAGTACACAAGATGGACCTAGAAATATGGGTACAATTTAGATGAGCAGGAATGGCAATTTAGACTGGCAGTGGGGACAGAGGACATTTGAAGCTGAGGGAAAGCAGTGATTAAAGGTTTGAGATGGGAATGTCAGCTGCATGGTGTGGGAAGCAAGAAGCAAAGCAGTTCAGCTTCCCTTTCTCCTACAGGATTTCCTGGGATTTCTGTTCAGAATTTAGGTGTCCCTGCATTTGCTTGATTTGTCTGGGAATGGAACATTTTTGTCCCAGAGAGAACATGTCAATGGTATACTGAGAACAAGTACTTTAGTGCCTAAAGGTGGTTAAAGGCTTTTAAAATTGGATTCTATCCACTCATTCAAACCTCAGTGGAATCTAGTTACTAGAGCAGAGTGTTTGAATATCTCAGTGTGTGTGTGTGTGTGTCTGTGTGTGTGTGTGTATGTGTGTGTCTGTGTGAGTGCATGTGTGACAGGGGGTTCGAGGGTGGTGATGAATGCACGCTCTAGCTCCTTCCTTCATCCCAGCAGCCCATCCAGTCCTCCAGCTGAAAAGAGCTTCACTTGTAATAAAGGCCATGCCCTGTGGTTGGCCAGAGATGACTACTTTTAGCTTCTTGGTATCCAGGTAAGATGGTCCTTAACTGCAGGCCACCCTCCTAGCTCACCTATTCATTGATTTCAACATCTTCAATCACCAGAACAGTCCTTGGAGAAATGATCAGGAAATAAACATTGAAGTCTGCAAATAATTCCATTTTTAAACCTTACGGAGATCGAGGACAGGTAGGTAAAGCAAGGGAGGTGTTTCTTTTATAATAAGAGGTACTGGGTCACCTGGGGTCAGCATTTGCTCATTGTCATCCACAGTATGGGATAGGGAGCAGGTGTTCTCCCTGATCACTCCTCTGAGTCAGACATGACCTTGCTGCTCTGAGATGGATAATGTGAAAGGGCAAGGGAGGAAGGAAGACTGGGGAAGGTGGAGTGGTTTTGAAGATTGACCATTTTATGTCATTCATTGAATACTAATTATACTGAAAATGAAAAAAAGAAAAAGAAAAGAAAAAAAAAAAAAAACCAGCGTAGCTGTATGGGGACAGAGCAGTGGTCAGTGTACCAGTTGTTCACCCTTGTGATGGCGAAGCTGACTGGGAGCTGTGGCTGCCTCTGGTCCACCTCACAAAAGAGGGGTCGTATCACATATCACCCAGAAAAGATCAAAGTTCACAATTTGAAGTATGCTGTCTACTGAATGTGCACTGCTTTCCAACTATCATTAGGTTAAAAAAAAGAGTAATAATTGTAATTCGAACCATTGTATTGTAAGCCAGGGACTGTCTGTATAAGTAAATGAAATATGAATTAAATATGAGTAAACTAATATACATCATCATATGTTGAGTATTGGTGAAGTAATGAAAAATATGACCCTCCGATCAAATATGGACCTCTGGTTAAGAAAAAGAAAACACGGGATAGAATAAACACAATTGTCATGTATAAAACCAGTCTGCCCCTCGAGTTTTGTCAAGGCCCGAAAGGCCCTGAGATGCGGATGGAAGGTGCATGGAGGCGCTCTCTCTCACAATTAACCTTTGCCACCAGTGAATGGAGGCAGAACCCAGTCTTTCCCAAAATGGGTGATGCTTAAAATAAGGAAATGTCTGTGCAGAGGGCTGGCAGAAAGTGGGGTTCAGGTAGATCACTGTAGCTGAAGTCATAATGCAGGGCATCCAATGGGCAAACCCCAAAACTGCAGAGCTGGAGGAAAGACGATTTCCTACCATGCACTTCACTGTGTTGGAGTTTAGAGATGATGTCTCTTTATTGACCTAATCCACATATCTAACAAAGAGAGCCACAAAGCAGCAGCCAATCAGTGCCACCACAGAGGCTGTGATCACCACGATGACACTCCCGGCCTTGTTGACCAGAAAGCCCAGGCCACCTCCAACCAGGATCTGAGCCAGCTGCACCATGCAGGTGAGGACAGCGCAGTCCAGGCCCTGCCCTCTCTCACTGCCGTCCAGGCTCCCTCCCCGGGTCTGCTGTCTCTGCAAGGGAAACACAGGAACACATTTAATCTGCGTGAACAATGCTTGAGGGCAGATGTCAGCACACGATTTCTGTGAAGAGCCAGATAGTGACCACGTTCAGCTTGGGGCCCCCATGGTCTCAGTTGCAAGGACACAACTCGGCCTTTGTAGTGTGAAAGCAGCTGCGGTAAACACACAGGTGGGCGTTCCAGTATAACTTTCTGCACATTGGTGTTTGAATTTCATGTAAGTTTCACTTGTCACAAATGTTATCCTTGTACTGATTTTCTTTTTTAAAAATCACTTAAAATATTAAGAGAATTTTTAGATCACGGGCTGTACAAAAACAGGGGGCAAACCACATTTGGCCAAGGAGGCATAGTTTGCCAACCTCTGATTTAAGCCAAAAAGCTCCATGCTCCTGCCCGAGGCTGTTTTTCTTACCTGCCCTAGAGTCTTAAATTCCCCTGTTAGTGCCCGTGAAGGTTAAATGATTAATATATGCAAAATTATCTCTTCCTGAGATAAATAAAACGTAATGGAAACTCAATACATATCCCCTTCCTTTCCCTCCTTGGTGTTAAAAGTTTAAATATGTTTAGAAGCGTATTATTCCCAGATCTACACAGGGGAAGCAACATTAAAAAAAAAATTCAACCTTTCAATACCTTTCAATATGGCTGATATGTGGTCTGAATTGGTTGATAATGTCGCCATTTATTGGGTATCTTCTACATACTAGGCCTGTGCAAAATTCTTTGGCATGTGTCGCATCACGTCTTTCTATCCTCCTCCCTGGATGCGCGTATTACCATTATCCCCATATAACAACAATAATACTAACTACCATTTTTGGAGTCTTTGCCGGTGCTAGGTAGGCATCACGCTAGGCAGACTACCTGCACTATCTCGTGTAATTTCATTTTCCAACAACTCTATAAGGTGAGCATAGTATTCCCATTTGTTTGATGAGGAAGCTGAGGCTCAGAGTTTGAATGATAATTCCTAAACCGTTAAGGTTTTTTTATAAACCATTGTATAGAAAAAACAATGCACATTATACTTTGAATAAGAGAGGGAAATTAAGAAAACAGACTCATACTTGCTTGATTTTCATTTTAAAATACTGGAAAGATAACCAACAACCTCATAAGAGTGCTTACATGCAGGGAGATGGGAAGGTGAGGAGGTGGGAGCCGCCTGTCGGTGTGCATGTGTATATCGCTGTGATTGTTGAACCATGTGAATATATTGCCTTCTCTAAAAATGAACTCATTTTAAGTGATATTTAACAAATAAATGAAAAACTTCCCCAGTGTTACACAACTGCAAAGTAGGGGCCGCAGGATGTGAAGTCCACTTTGTGGACTCAGGTTTCTGAGTCCAAAGCTTTTGTGTTTTTGCCCTAGCTTTCTCCTAGGAGGTCGGTTCTTAATAACTGTCTCTTTAACAGCAAAACCCTTGCGTACATTAAAACGTTAGTGACTATGTTTGCCAGAAGCGGAGGGCAGCCACGGGCTCTTGTTTGGAAGCTTTTAATTCCTAGCACAACTCTGCCCAGCAGCATTGGCCAGATCAAATGATGAAGACGACCAAGGTTGCGGTCACATAAACACATTCAGTGTTTTTTGCAGCTTTGTGCTGGGATGGACTAAGCTTGAAGTTATCTCTTTAGCTTTTATATCACTACTCCAGGTAAGGAAATGTAAGTCTATTCTCATGGAGGAAAAGTGACATATTTTGAGAAGACGTGGTAATCTTAAAGCAGAAACACCCCACCTACTGTTCTCTTAGGGCAGCTTGGTGCCCTCCCCTCCAGCCTGAGCTCAAGGCAGAGAAGGGCTGGCCTCCCTGGCTGCTGCTGGGGGGTGACCGCCTGCAACCCCAGCTCTCCTCCCTGTGCACAGGGTCTGACTTACTAAAAGCTGGACTCTAAGGGAAATGTGGGCTGGGAATTTCCTACCTCTAATCAATAACTCCACCATTGCAGCCCTTGGGAGTGGGGGGCCCAGAAATGCTGCAGGAGCACTGGACTTTGGGGCCATTTCAGATTTCCTGGGGTCGCCTTTCTTTGTCTCTGTGTGATGGTAGGCTGGTTTCTCAGTATTTCCGAGCCCCCTTTTCTTCATCAGCTGAATGAGGGTAACAGCACCTGCACCCCTGCTCCCCAGGAGCACAGGACTGCACAGTGAGGAGGAGGGTGTGGGCTAGGAAGGCGGGCATGCTTTGGCCGGACCATCATTCCATTTGGCTGGGCATTTTAGAGCTTCTGTTTTAAGACCCTTATCTTCCAGCCCCTGCCCCACGCTTCCCTACCAAATCCCCCCAGCCTGCAGGTCAGGTTCAAGAACGCACCTTCTCCTCTTGTTCCTCACGGTGGTACTTGGCAATGAGGTTAAAGGGCACTGTGTACAGAGTGCTGGACATCACACCAAATGAGGTACACAGAGCCAGGGTGGAGTAGACATTCGGAAAAAGCCCAATAAATCCGGTCCCCAGGCCAAATAGCAAATACCCCATGAAGTAAAGACCCTTTAATCCGATGTAGGACACCAAAGATTTCTGAAAGTCTGTGGGGAGAAAAAAGGGAGAAATTACAGCTGGCATTTGATAATTTCAGACAATCCTTTCTTTTGAAGATTCACTTTTTTTTAGGAGCCTTCCACTGATACTGAGTCAGGGACAGAAGAACCTCCTTATCTGTGCTTAAAAACAGCTGGCTTCTGGAATCAGTCTTAAATCCTGTGCATACGGAAGAGCTGGAAATTGCCTTGCTAGGTTGATTTTCTTTTCCGCAAGGAAAGAACAGGTGCTGTTCAGCAGGGCAGCTGAATAGCGACAGGATGCAAAAAAGTGGAAAAGCCCACCTTGGCGATGGGATTGTGGGGATGCAAGACATGGAAGAAAAGTGGGGTCCTTCTGGTTCACAGGAGTCTAGCCTCACAGGATACAAACAACAATCCAGGCCTATCCTGGCCCCTTGGCCCCAAGTCAGACTGGAGGAAACTGAAACAACCAAATTTAAAGAATGATCCAAGTCATCTGGTCCCTTCACTCCCATCTGAATGCCACCTGCATATCTGAGAAGGAAGTGAAGGATGCTCTTTATCTAAAGACAGGTTCCCTGACTTGCCAACACTTTCCAGGCTGGGGAGGGGCTCTCACTGCACCCAGCACCTCCCCGTTGCTGGCTCCCTCGCTCTCCAGCCATTTCCTTAACTTCTCAAAACCTCAGCTTCCTTATCTAAAAAAAATGAGACTAATAAAACCCTTCTTTGAGGCTGTCATCAGGATCAAATGAGATCTGATGCTTATGATATCATTCAATTCAATGCCAACCACAGAGAAGATATCCGGTTAATGGTGACTATTGTTACTTCAACAAATACGGGCTTGGCTGAAGATGGTTGTCCCTTAACATGCTTCCCCTCCCGTAGGTAAACTTGGCTTGTTCATGAAAGTATTGTAGTAGTTTAGTAGAGTCCATTTTGAAAAATGGAAAATTCTGTTTTAAAATGTTTTACTGGGGCACCTGGGTGGCTCAGCTGGTTAAGTGTCCAAGTCTTGATTGTGGCTCAGGTCATGATTCCATGGCTGTAAGATCGAGCTCTGATGTGGGCTCCACAGGATTCCCTCCCTATCCCTCTGCCTGCCTGTCTGTCTGTCTCTCTCTCTCTCAAAAAAAATATAAACTTTTGAAAAGGCTTTACTATGTTTTCCACAATGGAAAACTCCCTAAGAAACTTCAATCTTTCTTTTTTAAAAAGCTGTTCCTAATCCATACGTTCCCTATCTTTCCTTTGCCCGTTCTACTGGAACACATAAATCTAGGGGATGAATGATAGAGATCTCAGATGTGTCTATTCAAAAGTGAAATTTTCCATAACTGTCCAAATAATGGTTGGACTTACATCACCTAGACAAGAAACCTAATCTGTATTACATTTGAATCAATTATCAACACTGTCTCAGGTCGTCTGATGGAAGTCAGAGCTCTGAAAATGACAACTAGACAAGTAATCTAGGTGTCTTGGTACCTAAAAGACACCATCAGTATTCACTGGGGAAATGCTCTCAGCCAAGTATCTATGCCAGCCAAGAAAAAGGCAAAGAAGCACAAAGAGATATTTGGAAACATAAGTGACGTCAGTACAAAGACTGAAAGTCAGGCAAAAAATCTTTATTCATGAAGGAATCAGAAGTGTAAGGACCTGATACCCAGTGGTGGTTATGTCTTCACACTAAGCCTTTCAATAGAGGAGGGAAATGCCTGATTTAAGCACCAGCTATGAGTAGTAGTGTATGATATGAAAAACTGGCTATATTTCAGTATTCGATATTGTTATTTTCATGGATCTAAGTGTGCTTGCTATGTAAAATGAGCCTGACAATACCATACCTCACCCTCCACCCCAGCAGCCAAAATGCCCTGCCAAACTCTATCTGGATAGAAATTCTGGATCTGCATGTGATGTTAAACGATGAGTCCAAAATACAGGATGTATTCTGGAATTAAAGGAAATGATTGATACTGCCCAGGGTGGGTTGGTGTACAGAGGGAAAGAACTTGTAAGATTTAACAGACAAGGTCATACTGGAGCTGAGTCTGAAAGCATGTGTAGCAGTTGTCTAGATGTGGAATTAGAAAAACATCTGGTAGAAGGAGAAACCTAAGCAGTAGGAAATATACGGAACTGAGAAAGTCTGTGTAGTGAGTCTTCAGGGGAAGTGAATCTGTGTGGGAGTGACAGAGGTCAAGGTGTGAACCAGACCAAACTGAAAATCATGGAATGCCAGGCTGAGGACACTTTATCTTATGGACACGAAGAGCCCCTGAAGATCCTTAAGGGCTGGTTGGTATTTCATAAATAAAATTTTAGTTCTAATTCAAGTGAAAGAGATCTCATAGATTTATATATTGATATAACTTTGGAAAACTATTAAACTAATCATTTATGGTACACAGAGCTTTTAACTCAAAAGGGCCTAAAAAATAACATGCAACTTAATTTTCAAATGCCTAAGACTAGTTCCGAATGGAATGGTCCTTAGCAGGGATTCTTTGAGGAAAGAAAATACTTTTAATTGACACAAAACTAAAATGCTAATTACTTGTGGAAAAATGAGCTCCTCTTACAAGAATAAGGGTGGTATAAATAAACCCCCCCACCTTTGATAGCACAAAGGGATTGAGATGAATAACTTAGTGGACCCTTTTAGTCTACTGCTCTCTGATTCTATTTTAAGTAACTAAAATCTTCCTTCTGGAATTTTCTTAGTTCATTCACTGAAAAGGGGAGAAAAGGAGATTTGCTATAGAAATATGAGCTTTAAGCCACCTTTGTTCGGTTATCATAAATTTTAAAATAATAAATTTTATGGTTTCATGGTTATGGCACTCATGCATTCCTTATTTGTTTGCATTAGGCCCCCTTTTCCCAGTTGTGCTATATTGTGAAGAATTTTTTTGATCTTGAAGTAGGTTTCTTAATGTGCTATGGCTAGTTGGAGGCCAGGTCAGGTGTCATTATACACATTCAGTCTCTTCCCCTCAGGAGGCACACTTCAGTGACAGAATGAGTGCCCCTGGGAATGGTAATAGCAATTGTCCTCCATCACTTACCCCTCCCCCACCTGGGCCATAACCCAGCTGTCCCCTGGGTATGTCCAAAGCCTAGAGCTCCAAGTTGGGGGCCAGCTATTCTCCCCACAATCCGGGAGGAGCTTCCATTAGTATTATTAGAAGCCCGATTTCTACTCCAAAAGGGGGACCTGCCTACCTATTATTGGCCAGATTATTTCCCTTAATTCAACGTATACAGAGCTTGGAGATTTCCATTTACATTAGCAGGCACCAAACGAGACTAGGGTTATAATACATTAGTTTGGGATCGTTTAAACCCAAGCACAGAAATCTCTTTGTTTGCAGTGTCCTTACAGCTGAAATGTAGCTAAGGGGGATTAATGGACTCCAGTCCCCGTGGAAAGCTGGTATCTGAGAAAGAAAGTTGTCATCTTCAGTCCTTGAACAGTGCTCCTATGACATATCACCCTGCTTACCTGAGCTTAGGTCATTTTGCATGTTAATTCCGTCACCCAGCATATTAACCATCCCTCCTATGTCCTGTCTTTTATAGTTGTAATAAGCATATCTGTGAAACTCGACCAGTGATCTTACCTCAGTAGAACACTGGTCAATACTCACTACTAATCAATACTCTTTGCTGGGACTCTAGCCCTTGTCCATCCAATACTTTGCCATCTTGTTTACAAGATTTCCTTTTATTTTCCAGGGAATTTTGATCAGGGTCTCAAAGATTCCAAGGAAAAAAGTGATCAATGAGGAAAATAACATAGAATTCAGTATGGAAAATGATACTTCATATGGTCCTTTCTAAGGGACTAGTCTTTCCTGATCTCCATATATTTATCATGAATCTGGTATTTTAATAAGGAAAAAATAAACATAGAAATGTAAAATCCAAGATTCTGCTAGACCAGAGCCCTTTAGAAGACACCCTCAGGAAGAAGAGACTTACAAGAATAAAGCGAGGAAAACACGGAATTGATGCACAAGCCCCAACATCCAACCTCGACCCCTCTTTCGTAGATGAGAAACTCTGTGGAGTTGTGTGCAGCATAGGGATCCCCATGGTACACAATCTGAAAGAGAGATTTGGGGCTGTTGAAATGCAAATGCGGTGTGGTAGGGACCCCTTTCCACGTGCTCTGCTTATCCATCTCTAGGGAGTGACAGTCCCTGCCCAAAGGGCCCTTCCCAGGACACAGAGCTCTTTCTCCCATGACCATATCACCTTTTCATCCTTTTATACTCAAGGACCATCAGGAAGTCCTAATGCCATCAAGTCTAAACAACATCTCTCTGGCTCATTAACACCCTTCCTTCCACATAACATCTGGCCTCCACCTGACTTAGGCAACCCTGCCCCCCTTCTGGTACAGCCTTACAGCCTTCTGACTCATCTCTGCACATGCCATTCCTATTCCCGCTTGAAATGTTTTCTCCCTCTTCTCTGTTTCTCCAGCTTCTATTCACCTTTCAAGGCCTGGATAATACTGTGCCTCCTTTATTATTCCTGTCATGACCACTGCAGCTCACATTGATCCTTCCTCTTGTTGTATTTGACCAAATGCTGGTCCCATAGAGATGTCCAGGATGTAGTAACTTGTCTTTAATACCTGTCTACAAGGCAGCTCTTTGAAAGTACTTCTTACACTCTTACTGTGCCCATCTTAGGGGTTAGCCCGAAGAAACTCAGCAGGTGCTGAATGAAGGATTGATGTGCAAGTCAATGAGTGTGTGCACACATTTATTACCTGGCCCATGAAATCTGTGAAGAAGAGCATGTTTGACAGGAAGGCGGTCCATCCAAAGAGGTGGCTGATGCAAAGGCAGCGGTAGTAGGGAGGCATATTCACCAGCGCCCTCAGCAGTGACTTCATGGTCATTGCCTTCATAGTCTGGAAGAAAACATGAAACAGGTGTGACCTTCAGTGCAGACATGAAGCCAGCTGTGTGAGCCAGAGCACACAGCCATGTTGCGTATCTGTCAGCTGACTACCCTGGGGTCACACTTTCTGGGCATGGCACCAAGGTATCCATGGAGAAGTCTTATAGGAGGGGTTCTGTTAAGTGTGTATGTGTATTTAGCAGTTTCAGGTCCAGAATAAGGCTTTGGAGACCTAAGGGTAATGGAAAATGGGGCCTGCTTTGGGCCAACATACAAGAGATAGCTAACATCCTATCTTTGAATGACAGAACCACTGCATAAGGACAGAGCTTACAGACCTAAGCTAGCCCTAAGATTATTATAATTCTTAGAATTCTTGACTCTGAAAGTGTGATAGGCTGAATTCTAAGATGGCCCCATGATCTCTATTCCTTGGTGTTACATGGCAGAGGGATTCTGCAGAGATAATTAAGGTAACTAATTTGTTGACTTTGAGTTAATCAAAAGACAATTTATCTGGGTGACTCTAACCAAATCACATGAGCCCTTTAAAAAGCAGAGAGTTTTCTCCAGGTGGGAGCAGAAGAAGAAACCAGAGTTTCAAGCAGTGCTGGCTTTGAAGGTAGAAGGGGCCACCCAGAATGGATCTGAGAGTGCATGTGGGAGATGACAGTGACTCCTGGCCATCAGTAAGCAAAAAAATCCAAGAACCTCAGTTCTACAACCGCAGGGAATTCTATATGAATGAGGCTCAGAAGCCGATTCTTCCCCAGTTGAGCCTCCAGATGAGAATGTACCTCCATCAACACCTTGATTTCAGCCTTGTAAGACTCTAAGCAGAGAACCCAGTGGAGGCCAACCAGACTTCTGACCTACAGGACTGTGAGATAATAAATATGGCTTTAGGCTACTCAAGCTGTAGTAATTTGCTAGGTAGCAATAGAAAACTAATACAGAGAGCCAAACAGCCCCCCGCTCTTGACCAAGTATTTCTTCTCAGTTTATTTCCCTGGATCTTGCCATGAGCCAGCACATATAAATGAGCCTTATGTGGGGTCAGAAGTTAAAACAATATAGAACACACACACACACACACACACACACACACTGAATACACATGCCATATTCTTTTAGATTTAACATGTTTAAACCAGAGGTTACACTTTCTTTTTGTAACAGAAGCCTTGAGAAAACGAGAAATTTTGAACTATTGACACAACAGTTTTGAAATACAAAGAGTAAAACAGCCTTTAACATCTTGTTATATAAAAGAAGAAAGAAACCTTAAGAATATTGAGCAGTCAGCTACCCTGAACACACTGAGTCTATAAACATCAATCACTGCGGGGTGATGGGTTTTTCTGGTCAGATCTTTGTTTAATCTGAATCTTGACATAATGAAATTGAGTCCTGGCTATTTTAACTATAAAAAATATTGTTTTTATAACTCTACACTTTATATGATAACGCTTTTTACTTCTTTGTTGTGGAAAATTCTATTTACTCATTGTAAGTTTGTTGTGCAAGCTGATTGTTTAAGTTGTCAATTTGTAGAATTTGACCAACTGACCATGACTGAACTGATTTTCTTCTACAGTCATCCCCACCCTTATCTATCAGCAATATATTCCAGGACTCCCAGTGGATGCCTGCAACCACACATGGTACTGGACCCTGTAGGCTATGTTTTTTTCTTATACATCCACACCTATAATCACATTTAATTTATAAATTAGGCACAGGAAGAGATTAATAACAATAGCTAATAATAAAATAGAACAATTATAATAATATACTCTAATAATAGTTGTGTGAATGTGGTCTTTCGCTCCCAAAAAATGATACTGTGTTGTCCTCACTCTTCTTGTGTTGGTGTGAGATGATAAAATGCCTATGTGAGGAGATGACGTGAGGTGTGGTGACATAGTATTAGGGCCACTACTGACCTTCTGACGATAAGTCAGAAGAATCATCTGCTTCCAGACAGCGGCTGACCACAGGTAACCGAAACGTGGAAAGTGAAACTGCAGTTATTTGGGGACTACTGCACTTAAATCAGTATTTTAAAAGTACGGGCATTCCTTTGGAATTAGGAAAAATAACTATTTTTGCATGTAAAATATGGTAACTGTCAAAATAAATATTTACTGTAAAAGAAATTCAATGGAGTATTGTTACGTTTTACTGACCACGGGAAGAATATAAAGGTATAGTATAAGAGACAACAGGGATGCGTGGGTGGCTCAGGCAGTAGAGCATGTGACTCTTCATCTCAGGGTTGTAGGTTCAAGCCTCACATTGGGTACAGAGGTTACTGAAGAAATAAACTAAAATAAAAGCCAGCTTGGGTTTCATCCCTCAGGCTAAGTGATCTATTTTTACTTTCCTTGCTTTCTTTCCAAAAACGCAGAATTTTAAAAAGTGAATGTGGCCAGTAAGTATTCATCCTCACTCCAAATATTAGTTTAGGCTTCTGCCTTATACATAATTTTCATTCTACTTCATTGTTAATCTAATGTTTTCTTTCATCCAAAAATAAATATGAGCTTTCAAACTGTGCCTAGTACTTCTGTAAAAGCTGGGGATGTGAATATTCAAAGCCCTTTGGGTATTTTAACTCAGAGTGAAAATTCAGCTGGCATCTTATTCTGTGATTCATCAGTTCCCTTGATGAAGCCCTTTCAATGGTTCTGAGCCCTGGAGAGTTACTCTACTGCAGGTATTGTGCTCCTTTGTCAACGGGAGATTGGGTGGTGGTGAATTTATACATGAAAAAGGCAATAGTGGGAAGAGAGCTTCTTATGTCCAAAAAGGAGACTATTGAAATGTTGAAGTAAGCAATGGTGACATGGAGGAATTCCAGATGGATTTATGGGATCCAGTTTGAATCCTGAGATAATTCAGGTCTCTCACCATTAAAAACAAATAATAATCCCAGCTCCCAAATGGCACAGCCACCCTCGTTTTGTAAACTAAGTATATTCTACCTTGGAAAATAAGTATTGGTGTAAGTAGCTTATTATACGGCCCCCCGCTCCCCCGTTAGGGCTGTCTAAGTTCTTGAGCATAGAGATGGGACATTAGTCAATTTTATGATCCCTAAATACCTTGTAGAGAGCTTTGTGCATGCTCTATACCCAAAGTACTTTGTTGAGTGAATACTGGCTGTAATATGCTTATAGATATATATAAAGCTCAAAAAGCACCTTTCCATGTTTTATCTTAGTTGAACATCTCAATAACCCTGGAATATAGATAGTCCAACCCAACAAGAGAAGTCAAGCTCATAGAGATGAGATTCACTGAGCTTGTTTGAAAGTTCTGTTAGAGCACAGATTAAGTCTGTTCGCTATTTGTGTCTGGAGTGCTCAGCATTCTGCCAGGCTCATAGTAGGCACCTCTACCAAACAGCTTATCATGTGGTAGGAACCACTCTAAGTAACTTTGCATGGATTCTCTCATGTCAGCTGCACAAAAACCTTAAAAGTAAATAGAATTACTTTCTCATTTTACAGAAATGCATCCCAGAGCTGGTGGAGGCAGGATTTGGACACCTGCACTTTTAATCTTTAGGCTCTTTACAGCAAGTGCTTGATGGTTGCTGAATGAATAATGCTTGATGGTTGCTGAATGAATAAAACAGGTCAGCCAGCAAGAGGAATCAAAATTTAAACCCAGGTCTTCCACAACCTCTTTTCCAGTGAGGGAATCCTCTGTATTTACATCCCTGAGGTATTGCCATCAAAGTCAGCTTGAAGGAGAGTGCACCTGTGTGTCAGTGTGGTCCAATAGAACTTTCTACAAGGATGGAAATGCTCTATATCTCCACTGCTCCTAGCCCCAAGGGGCTATTTAGCCTTGGGAATGTGGCTAAGGCAACTAAGGCACTGACATTTTAATTTATTTCATTCTAATTAATTTAAACTTAAATAGCCTTATGGGACGAATAGCCAATGTATTGGTTAGCATAGTTCTAGCCTTTTCTCTCTAACCATTTCCTCCTAATCTAGTTCCATTTCTCTATAATTTAGTAGAATTTTCCTTAAGTTTTAAGCTAATTAATTCACTGACTAGTTCACTGAAAATGGCCTAAATATTTTTTTAGTCAATTTATTAGATTCAAATGCAACAGGCCCAACCCAGTTACCAACCCAGGGATGCTATCATTTGGAAAAACAAAATTATAATTCCAGTCTAAGAAGTAAAGATATTCCTTGAGGCCTGAAGATGGTTCCAGGCTTCTCTAATGGTCTAACATTTTGGAACTGGCTTCACCTTTCCTAGTTTGATGCTCTGAAAAGAGGAAGAGGAAAACCAGAGGAAAATGCACACATTTTCTTTGAGGTGCAAAGAAAAGTTTTAATTCAAAGGGTTAAGAGATATAGGGGACAGGAGGATTCAATTATACTTCACATCAAACTTTTCACATCAAAAAAGCAAACAAAACAAAGAATAATAATAATAATAATAATAATAATAAAAGAAGGGTAAGAACAAGGATATTTTTCCTAAGTAAAGAAAAAAGAGGAGCACCTGGGTGCCTCAGTCCCTACTTCAGCTCAGGTCATGATCTCTCAGTATGGGTTCAAGCCCCTCATCAGGCTCTGTGCTGGCAGCTCAGAGCCTGAAGCCTGCTTCAGATTCTGTGTCTCCCTCTCTCTCTGCCCCTCCCCTGCTCATGCTGTCTCTCTCTCTCTCTCTCTCTCTCTCTCTCAGAAATAAACAAAACATTTAAAAAAATAAATAAGAAAGAAAAAGAAAAAAGAATTTGCATCTTACCTGTTCAGCAGGATTTTTGGGTTTTTCCCCATGCAGTGCCAGCTCTGGGTTTACATAAACATTTTTAGCTTTCTCAATAGACCCATACTGGTACAATTTGTCTGATGACAATAGAAAGTCCTGGGGGGCTTGCTGTGGGGGAATGTCCTTTATAACATCTCTAAGTGGGGCTTCAGGGATACTGCAGAGATGAATAATAAAACACAAAGTGAGCACCAAGGCGGAGAAGAAGAACATGACCTGGAATTCTGTGCCCAGCACTCTTCCGAGCTCCAGATGGGCCCAGTCGATGGCACCCAAAAGGTAACCCAGGGTACCTCCGAAACCTGGAAAGAAGAAAGCTGTGTTAGCATATTTAGCAAACTGTTTTCTCTTCCCAGGGTGCCCAGGCACTCCCATTCAGTGGGAAAGCTCCCTGAAGACAGCAGAGGGGCCTGGTTAGGATGAAGAGTTAACACAGCAGGAAGCCAAAACATGTGCAACCAGGAAACGTGGGTTCAAGGCTTGGTTCTGGCCTGTACTTGATGTGACTTTGGACTTCCCCACTCATAATATGGGGATGATAATAAAAGAGCAAATTGGACTAGTGCCAGACACAGATATTGACACCATCAGAAGTCCTGTGGCCTTTCCAAACTGCACTGTTTAACCTGCTTTGGAACTAGGATTCCTGCCCTTAGGATTACAACCCCTGGTTGTAATAAAATAATTTGTATTGTCATTTATTTATTAATAGGTTATCTAGCATGATACAAGTTTGCAAAGAAGAAACAGCTTTGCACTCTGTCTTCATTCCTTTATTAGAAGCTAAAGGAATGTGTTCCTAGTTGATAGCCACAGAACAAATAACAGAAGATGAAATACGAATTTTTAAAAATTGTTTTGTCATCCCACAGGACCCTGACCTGAAGTCTTTTTGTTGCTTGTTTTACCTGCTTTTGCTAAAGACAGTGTGATTTGAGGGACACTGACAAAGGACTTCCCCAAATATATCCTGCCTTAATGGCATAATAATTGAAATCCTATTAGTAGTGATTCATTCCCTTTGGATTTTAAAATACAAGTGCCCCTGACCTGAGCAGGACCCTATATTTGTTCCTCGTGGAGACATCAGTGATCCTGAGAATGCAGGGCTGAAGGAGGGGCACTCCCCAGAGATGGGAGGGTGCCCAGGGATGTAAGGAAATGGATGCCAAACATGCCTCCTACCTAGGTCACAAATTTGTGTAGGACTGACCAACCTGTCAGAAGCCTTTAAATGTCAACCTCCTATCATGTCTCACCAAACACAAATATCTACCTGGACAGAAAAGTTTTGTTTTTGTTTTTCCTGTGTGAGTGAAATCTCCATTTTATTTCCCAGATAAGGACAATATCCTCACAAACCAGGGAATCAAGGAAGAAAATGGAACTTAAGGAATTCTTTATCTCTAACCCTGAACACCTAATATAAATCCTGACCCCAGGAACACAAATCTGAATGTCAAACACTATGACTCCTAATTTATCCCACGTGGTGGGAGAATGGGTGATTTTGGTCAGTCTACATCCCGGTTACTTGCAATTTACTATAGAGGATATTTGCAGATGACCAGTCGTTCAATCATTGAATTCCAAAAATAAAGCATCGTTGTCATATCCTGAGTGCCCAAGCATTATAAGACAGAATTATGGGAAACTGTGGCAAATGGGTGTGAAAAAGTAAAACATATGTCTCCTGCCAACAGGAATATATGGTCTAGTCATGGGTGATGGGCATATACATAAACAGATAAATGACACACATGGTGACCTGTCCTAGATGATAGGTCCCAGGCTTTGAGAGGAAGAAGAGGCCCTTGAGCCAGCCGCACTTGTGATTCAGAGGGCGATTCTGGGACAAGAAGTGCCTCTGGATCACTATCAGACAATGACTCTCCTTATCCAATCATGGAGATGCCATTGGTGTCAGAAGTCACGTGCTGAGCCAAGCAATGAACCAGCACTATTTGCAGGCCTATGCAAATCAGTATTTCCCAATTTTGGCACTACTGACATTTTGGGCTGAAAGATTCTTTATTGTGAAAGACTGTTCCATGCATTATAAGACGCTTAGCAGCATCTCTGTGTTCTCCCTACTAGATGCCAGCAACGACTTCACTGCCTATGACAATCGAAAATGTCTCTAGACATTGCCTAATGTCCCTTAGGGGCAAAATATCCTCCAGTTGAGAACCCCTGATCTTAATGAGTTCTATGAAAAACTTACACATTCCTTTTTTGAAGCTATTTATCATTTGTAGCCAGATCAATGGTTATCATTTGTCATTTGTCATTTAATTCCCCTGCCATTTATGCCTCTTTCCTTCATACTTATTAGTCCACCAAGCAAAGGAAATTTGGAGCAAAAGATCCCCGCCTATTTAAAAGAATTTATATGTGGGTTGCTTGGGTGGCTCAGTGGGTTAAGCATCTGAGTTCATGGGTTTCAGCTGAGGTCATGATCTCACAGTTCATGACTTTGAGCCCTGCATCAGGCTCCAGCAGTGTGGAGCCTGCTTGGGATTCTCTGAGAAATAGGGGTGGTGAGGCCTCCTTGTATGACTTTTGTGAGGGCTAACATGATAACACATGTCAATTATTGGCACACATAGGGGCAGAACGAGGGCCCAAAATGAGTGCCCTGAAGACTTGCTACAGAATCCCTAAATCCAAAGCCTTACCCAGAAGTAGGAGAAGACAGTTACTGCCCTTGCCTAGGGCTGGCTGTAAGGACTTGGTCATCGAGGCCCAGTGATTAGAATCCAGGGATCGTTCTGGGGGTTGGCTTGGGCCTAAGGCTGACCTAATGGGGCACTGAGTAGCAAGTATTGTAGAAGAAAGACGTATTCCAAGCTTGAAAAACGTAGCAATGACGAGTGCCTGATTTACAAAATATCAGTCTAGAGCAGTGCCTCTTAAACTTTAATGTGTGCCTGTATCACACGGATGTCTTATTAAATTAAATTGTCTTTGTCTGTTTGGGTTGCTGTGACAAAAATACCAGAAGCTGGGTGGCTTATGAGCAACAGATTACTTCTCATGTTGTGTTGGCTGGGAAGCTTACGGTTATGGCGTCAGTAGATTGGGCGCCTGGTGAGGCATGCTCCGTGTTGGTGGCTGTCTTCTTACTGCAATCCCACTTGGCCTAAGTGGCAAGGTAACTTTATCAGGCCTCTTTTTTAAGAGCTCTCATTCCATGAATGAGGCCTCATGACCTAATCATCTTCTAAAGACTCCACCTCCTGATACCATCACATTGGGTAATAGATTTTTAACATATACATTTACACGTTCAATCTATAACCCAGATTCTGCTTTTAGAGCTTCAGGGTGCGGCCTGAGATTCTGGATTCTTTTGAAGCTCCTCCTTGCACCAGTGCTGCTAGTCCGAACATTACTCCACACAGCCAGGTCAGAGAGCAGCATCCAAGTCAACCTGCTCCACCCTTATCTGACATTCTCGGGGACTGGGACTCCATCATTACAGGGTATTTGACCAACAATCTAAAACTGACAAAGCACAATAATGTATAGTTCTGTAAAGCTGAGGTTAGTTTGCAGACAGTATTAGGGTTCTATGATTTGTATTATGTTTTTAATGCCTAATAGAGGATTTCTAGTTTTACTGACTTATAAAAGGTTAATGAGATTTATATCTAAGGAAGACTTTTTCTTTTGCTAACCACACACACACACACACACACACACACACACCGTAAAGAACTTGGGGGAACTGTTCTTTATGTATTTCCTGTCAGTTCCCTCACTAATCAGTCGAGCAAAATTTTGACACCTGCTTCAAGGACCTCAGAGAATTTCCCATCCTCTCTTCTCTTAGGGAGGGGAATCAAACAAAACAGGCAAAACTAGTTTGTCCCAAAGCTATTGGGGGGTGTAGCTAAATATTACAACACAATATGCCTGGTGAAGGAATAGTGGGCCGCTGGGGTAATTATTCCATAGACACCATATTAAAACTCTGGATAGAAACATTTAATTTTTCTTTATGTTTTTATTTTATTTTGAGAGACAGAGTGTGAGCAGGGGAGGAGCAGAGAGAGAGGGAGACACAGAATCTGAAGCAGGCTCCAGCATCTGAGCTGTCAGCACAGAGCGCAACGCAGGGCTTGAACCTACAGACTGTGAGATCATGACCTGGGCCTAAGTCGGACACTCAACTGCCCTGGATAGAAACATTTAAACTTTATGTATTCACACCCTCTGATATGATACAGGCCAGCAGAGGGCTGCAGGAATTCACTGAAGGCTTTCCTTTCTGCTGCTTCTGCTTAAGCTTAGGATGTTATCTTCAGAGATAAAATCCAAGACAAAGCCTCATCAGTTTAGCTGGAACAAAGGCTAATAACAACTCCCACATCTATATCCAGACTGCATTTGTCTCTGTTCCAATCTTCCTCTCACTGGGGCCCCGGAATTAATCATCAGGCTATTGGCCAAACCATAAGCTTCTTTTTTTTTTTTTTAAATATTTTTATTTATTTCTAGGAGAGAGAGAGAGACAGCGTGAGCAGGGGAGGGTCAGAGAGAGAGGAAGATACAGACTCTGAAACAGGCTCCAGGCTCTGAGTTGGCAGTCAGCACAGAGCCCGACGTGGGCCTCGAACCCACGAACCGCGAGATCATGACCTAAGCGAAAGTCGGACGCTTAACCGACTAAGCCACCCAGGCGCCCCCAAACCATAAGCTTCTACAGGACATCTGTTAATGTCAGATAACAAGACTTTACAAAGAAGAGCCCACAAACAATCCATCTGGCTCGTTCACAGAGCAAGGCCATGTTACCAACTCACACAGAGTGAGGCCATGTTACCAACTCATACCACAGCCAACCTCAGAAGAATGAATGGCTTGACAGATAGTTGTTATTTTTCATAACTTATAACTTGAACAATGGCGTATCCAAGCACACAGAAATAGAGTTGTTTTTCTTTAGTTTGCAACTATAATAGGTAAAATTGGTAATTTGGGGGAGTTTCAGGACCAAAGAATCTAAAGAGTCTATCTGAGTCAAACTCCACATCTGCTAGGTACCTGTAGTTGTCTCTCTGCTTCGGGTGCGCAGCTTAGCAATCCACACTCTGATGGCAAAATTGCCCACGTCAAGAGAGCTAACAGTGTGCTGCCAGCTAATTCACTTCAGCAAGAGATCAGACTAAAATCACCCTAAGTTTCCATGGAGTTCACGAAAGAGTGATTTTGACTCTATTCTATGTGGTAAGAAAATAGCCACAAAAATGTTTAATTAGGTATATGGTTCCTATTCAACCAATATATATACACTAAT